CCTGGAGTTCCTCCAGCTGGCACACCAGAGACCCCAAAAGGGAGCAGACCCCACAAGAGGAGGTGGCCATGCTCCCGGGCCCCAGAGCCTGAAAAAGCAACAGGCAGCCCCCACAGCTGAGAGCCAAGGGCTCCATCTGTGTGGAGCCTGGAACCATGGGCTCCATCTGGGTGGTCATCTGTGAGGTGCCGGGGGGGTGCAGAATCCGAAGGGACCTGAGGGGTGTGGCGAATGCCCATCCGTGTCATGCCTCTGGTAGGCTGGCTTCGGCTGGGACTATCTACCCTGGCGGGTTCGCAGGCAGGGTCTCGGGCCCTCCCGCGCACCCTCCTGCACAAACTCCGCGGTAACTCACGCGTCAGCAGACAAGCAAGCCTGGTTGCGCAGCCTGTTCGCGTGGCTCCGGTTGCATGGCTCCCTGGGGGGCTGGGCGAAGTAGGGGCCTAGGTGGGGCTTGACCCGGCCCGGCTCCACTCAGCCGCCTCCTCCCACTCACTCAGGGATTAACCCTCTCCCACCACGGGCCCCGCTTGCCTCCGGCTGTGCTGGGGGTTGGCGGGGGGGCTCCACAGCTGCTGGGGGGGTGCTTGGGGGGCTTCAGGAGAGCGGGGGCGCAGCGGGCTTTCACCCGCGTGTCTCTCACCGCTCCGGAGCCTAACTGGGACTGATATGACAAAACTACTATCACGCTCAACAATATTATCTCACTTAACATGTAACCGTCCATCCATCTCTAATCCATTTTACAGTTAGGCCTTTACGGTAAGGATCTTTTTTTTGTTCTGTGAGGCCATTCTATCTGGCCCGTGGGGCTCCTAAACAAATTTTGAAAATTATAATGCATCTGTCATTGGTTCCTGTCAAAAATGGCAGGAACTAGGGGGCAGCAGGACCCAGAAGAATCCTCAGCAGGTTCCTGCAACAGCAGGGCCTTCCCGGCCCTGCTCCGCTAGCCAGGAGCCCCAGCAGAGACTTCTGACCTGGGACCACGTGGCTGCCCTGGTGCAGGAAGCTCAGGTAAGGGAGGGGGGAGAAAGGGCAGGGAAAGAGCTGGTGCAGAGCGTGGGAAAAGTACCCCTTCCCCACCCGATAGCCAGTGCTCCCTGCTGCAGCTGCTCGCAGCCCATGTAGGACTGTCTGGTGCAGGCACAGGCAGCCCCACATAGGCTGCAAGCAACTGCAGCATGGGGTGCCGGCCTGGCTCCACAGACCCCTGCCAGCCTGCGCCCTGCTCTGGGCCCTGCTGGTGCTGGCCCTGGGACATTGGTCCCAAGACATTGGGATACTGGTCCTAAGATGTTGACTGGGGTGGGGCATCTTTCAAGGGGCGGGGCAGCTGTCAAGGGGCAGGGCTACCCATGTGGCCCTCAACAACTTGCCAAAACTGGGTAAGCGGCCCTCCGCCTGAAATAATTGCCCACCCCTGTCTTACACCTTTCTCAAGATGCTAAAACGTAAATTCGAGGGCAGTATATATAGCAGAATAAGACTACCATTCAAAAGACTTTATATGCATTACATTTAAAACACTTGGTCTAGTCAGGTGCAAAAAAGGTTGCCAGCAAATTAGCATACTGAAGAATAGTTCCCGTTTAGACACTATAAGCACAGTCTCCATGGTTTAGTGTTCTGCTGCATCCATAAGAAGTAATTTGAATGATCTATTTGGTTACATTTGCCTGCTGCTGCTGGATTGGCTGAAGTGTGAGTGACAGATTTTTTTTTGTTTCTTTATACAAAAACCTCAATACTTACTTCTATGCACTTAAATTTAAAATAGGCATGGAATGATATACTACTTTCACTTACACAAATATGTGCACCTCCAACTTGCAAGCTACTAGTAATTTAGAGCAAAGTAATAGCGTGCAGTCAGAATGGCAACTCAGCATAGAAGCCTATTATATGAGAAGTGATAACAGGAAATGACTTCTTGCCTAAGCAACTTCTGTAGACTATGGATGACTGGATAGAGCAAATAATAATCTACACTTTACATATCCATTATACTTTAAGTCCTTCCCTCGTTTCTATCATAGTCTGTTTCACAATAAATTTATTGAAAAGTTTTAGGCCAAATATTTTAGGTCGATATCTTCAGAAAATACAGTATTTTAGCTACTGCCATTGTGTGGTGCATGTGTCTTCTTGTTTCTTAGTTTTATGTCCATCTTTGAATTGTAATGCTCCTCCTGCAAGTTCTGCACTGGTAGAGAAGCTTGGCTGGGTTCAGAGATCAACACTTCACATCATACAGTTATCAGTTATTACTCATCGGGGGTGGGGAATGAAAATGCTGGGATGATTCTCTTAAATTCTCTAAAGTATTTAAAATAGTACCTGCATTTCCTTCAAGCAATATTACACAAATTGCTTCAGAAGCTTATATCAGAACTCCAAAACTAACATTTTCCCCAAAGTCAACACATTATCAGACATTTGTAACATTTAAACACTGCATGTGTACATGCTGGCAATCCCAGTTAAAGTTTCTAGGTACTATCACAATTAACATCTATATAAAAAAAGAAAGTCTATTTTAATAGTAGGATAATTATATACCAATTATAAAAAGGATCTCTAATTTTAAAAAACATGCAATACTTAACTGTCCAACTATGGACTGAAAACTGGAAATGCCAACTGGATGGATGCCTGTGTACATTAATACAGGCCTCTTGCTGTATTTTTAGCACTGGAAATATTATACTGTAGTAAAGCAGAACTGGTACGCTGCTTGCTGCCTTACCATTCTGAAACAAACACCTAAAAAAGAATTAAAAGAAAAATAAGTCTGACTCTGAAAGAATGAACACTACTCCTCACAGCTCTACCCAATTTTTGTTTCAGTTAACCATGCAACAGAGATTTGCTATGCTCTTTTACTGTGGAACTTTTCAAAGTGATTATACCCAATTATTACACTTCTAAAACATAAAAAAAAAAATTCCTTAGGGGTCAGTAAGGGGGGAAGGGAAGGAAGAGGAGGGCAGAAATACATACATACATACATATATCTGTGTGTACGTGTGTGTGTACACATACATATAAACACACACCCTAAAGACTTAGTTTGACACACACACACAC